CAGATCCTACTGGCTCATCGGTTTCATAGATCCCATTCATTGATCTAGACACGCACAGTCGCTCCTGTCGTACCAGTCGGCCTCGAATCATGCATGGATTTTGAGCTCGCTCTCGGAGAGAGTCACCAAACCTTGGGAGTAGAAGCCTACGTTTTCTTTGCTGTGATTGACGCCGATACTATGTTTTGGTCCTGAACTGCAACCAACTAAGATCGGTTCATATGAACAGCGCACGCCTGTCAGATTTGCGAGAGCTGCTGAAGGCAGCGTGATGAGTTCGCATTTAGCCCTCCTTCCCTTCCTGTAAGTAAATCCTGGCTGCGCTTAAGTCTAGCTATACGCGGATACATGGATCGGACTATAGGTACGGCTTGTGTAACCGTTGAGAAGTCCTTCCACGCAACATGTACACATCCAAGAGTGAGATCCTTTTTAGTCTGAATTCCGTGGACGGCGCTTTTTAAAATTCCCGTGGCTGTACCTACTCCTAATTCTTATGAAAATATTGATCCAGTCTTATCAACTTGGCTAGTTTTCCATCAGGTTGGAATGCAAGAAAAATCTGATTTGGTGAGAGGTTGAAGCGCAAAGTAAAATCAGTTTTTCGTATTGCCTTCTACCGTTTATCGCAACATCCAAGCTCATTTCATGGTCCAGGATTTCTTCTTGGAATGCGATGCAGCCCAAAGCATTTATTAAAGCGCTCGTATACACGCGCCTCTTAGAGGTACGCCACAGCCCACGAAACTCAATGTGTAAACAATTATTGGTGGCAACAGGTAAGGAGTTTTAAAAAGTTGCCGAATAAAATTGGTTTTCGCACAAGGCTATTGTATAATAAGGTAATACCAGCCTTTTGAGTTATTCATCACTTAAGGGATGAATCGTTTATGCTATGCGCGGTGTAATCCTGCAGCAGCACATCTTGGTAATGTGATATGTAAAAAGCTCCTATCTTAAATTTAGATGATATGAATGGGCTGTTTGTATTGACATTTTAGAAATGGGCAGCGTTACACAAGTGATTCTCTAAAAAGTGCATGACGGGGTGATGGCACATTTCTTAACTTTGTTTTGTGCGGCTGAAGCCATTTTATGGAAATAAATGCTGGCAGCGCTGGACTTCCAGCGTTTCAGTCATCTTTTTCAGAGGCTAACCCAGTTGTGAAAAATCTGTACAAATTCTTTGTTTTTAACAATCATAAGGCCCTTATAGAATATTGCGTAGCTTTGACGCTGTAACCATCTAAAAACTCTGTTTTCCCTGGGTAGGGAATGACACTACCATATCTCACTTTAAAGTAAGTTGGGATTGAACTGGGATGCATGCAAAATATAACATTATAAGTATTGTGATGGCCGCATAAATATTTGTCAAGTGAAGCGCATTTTGATCTTGCTGCAAAAGAAAAAAGTTAATGTTTTTGTCAAATATAGTTCAAATAACGATGAGTTTATAAGGACCGTAGAGATTTGATTGATACTATCATCGATCAATTGAATTCGAAGCTGAACCAGCCATAACTATGTCAGTGCTATGGGATGAGGTGCGAAAGATCACCGATTGGAAAAGGCTGCCGGGATTACGAACTGCTTACAACATGCTGAATGGAGTTAGCTTATCAAGCGCAGCGCTATCGCAACAGCGTCTTCATCTCCATGGTGTGTTCACTACAGGGGGCGGCGTGCTCGCGGACTTCAGGATCTCAGGTCGAATGGCAGAGTTTTTCACTCACGGAGCTCAGGATCTCAGGACGAATGGCAGATCTTTTCACTCACCGAGCTCACGATCTCGGGACGAATGGCAGAGCTTTCACCCACGGACTTCAGGATCTCAGAACGAATGGCAGAGCTTTTCACAAATCTAAACCGAGTGAGATGGGAGTTAGCAGTAATCCGATGCCATTCTATTCTACACTGCAGCCAAGAACTGCAAAAGGTCAGCAAGGTGGGTGGCGAGAACAAGATGGTTTGAGTTGGCTACATCGAGTTAAAGGCTCATCATGCTCAAAAGTACGGAACTTTGCCCATGCGCAGGCATCATCTTAGGAGGTCATTTCATAATTGTGTTCTGAAGGGAGAAGATGAAAAGTGGAGAATGCTATGATCATCCTGGATATTATCACCATTAGCAATGCTTACCTCGCACCGTGACCCAATGCACGATGCATCTGGGTGCTTGGGAGCAGCTCCCATCCATGAAGGCCGTCGGGTCGAATCATGATGAAGGTAGAAGATTTCCGATGAAGGGGTGATGGATGAAAATGGCAGTGAATGTGAGTAATGCGAGCTGTTCTTATCACCAGGCCTTGCGAGTGCATTGGCCGCAAGCTTCTATGCACCTCTTTTAGAACGACTCCAATGGGAGTGGAACTTCACGGGAGAACTGTGACTCCCAGAGGAATGCCATCTTGATGGATAAGTGTCATCCGTGAATGGCTGACCGGGAGTGGAACTTCACGGAAGGACTGAAACTCCGGAGGAATGCAATCTTGATGGATAAGTGTTATCCGTGAATGGTTGACCAGGAGCGGTCGCTTCCACCACCTCAACGTCGCACAAACTCTTGCGCTGACAGCGAAACAAAAGACGCAAGTCGCGTACTCTCTGCTAAAAGGAGGAAAGTGAAAAACGTTCAGAAATCAGGGTGACGATGTCTTTTAGAGCAATGCAGAAATAGTACGGAAGGAGGTAAGTACACGTAGTTACAGCCGAAGTCATCGTCTGACTGCCAGCTAGATGCTCTACGTGCAAATTAATACGAGTAACGTTAGCGACAACCTGGCGTTTACACGAGCCGTAGCTCCTGCTGAGCTCCTGACCAACGGCAACGCGGCGTCAGCGCTGAAAATACTGCCCCCCCCCCCCCCTCCCGCCCAAGCAAACATATTGCTAGGGCGAGTCTCATGAGCCAGCTCTGACAGGTACCGATTTAGATGTGTACTTTGGTGTGATCATTTAGTTCTGATATCTAAGACACGTGGTGTTCAATGCCTGCACTGAAACCGAGAAGTCTAGAGTTGTTTCTTCTCCCTGGGATGCGATGGTTTCAAATGCATCTGCTGGTGGCTGTGGTGTCGACTCCATCTCTTTGGAAACACATATATGGGCAACATTTACTTGTTTTCATATCGCATCGTACCCTAGATCTACCCCAGCCTCAACGAATCGGTTATCGCAAGTCATGCACCAATATTGTTCAGACAGATTCTCCGAAAAAGCATTGGGACCATAGTTTGGTCCCGCATACATGGCCAATAACGATGGCTGGTTGTTCGGGTTGAGTGACATTTTTTAAATTCACCACGTCATAGAATTTAGCGTCGTAGTGTCTCATGCTGATGGAACCCGAAGAGACTAATCAAGCAATATTCTTTTCCGAGCCCACGCCATTGCGACCGTGGGTTAAACATTCTATCAATGGGTCACGTCTTGCTCGATATCAGTGATGATCGGTCTCCTTCAATTAAATACAGATGTAGTTGCTTTCTTTCACAACACAGGAAGTGGAAGAAACTGCCGACAAATAGCTCTACAATACACGAAGCTGAGTTTGAGCTCGTGGCACATAATGGAGAAGAATGTCTTTACTTCTGACATACCAATCGCTCTTCTTCCTCATTTATGCCTCATCTTGCATCCTCGCGATGCCCCGTTTATCCGGAGCAAGCCGTAGACGCCAGCCATGGGTGGGCTTAAGTTCCCTGGTGGGGGCCCGTCTTAGCGCCGAGCATATGCTCGGAGATGGGTCCCTGCGCGACCTAAGCCTCAGCGGGGTGCTCCCAGGAACATGCTGTCTTGCCTACCACCATGCACTCTCTGACTGACTGGATGACTGGATGAAACTATAGCGTGGTCCTCATGGATCACATAATGCATGAAAAATATATAAATCTATGAACAGGTGCCATGCCATATTTTAGTATGTCGTCAGAGTTGTCGGTTTTAATAGCTCAGTTGCGCCTGTGTTCCGACTGTACTGCAAATCGCAAAGTCAAAGCTGCTAAACTGCGATATATCTTGTGGCAGAAATTGCGATTACAAAAGGTTGAGAGCATCACATTTTCAAAGATATGTTCAAAAGCCCAACGTTCCCCTGTCGGCATAGGGCTGCGCTTAGCACAATGGGTACAGGGTAGAGTGCGAATGCTTAAGTTTTGACGCTCAGTGCGAATGTGCTAAAATGGTTCACGGGCAACTTATGCCGTGTACTTTCGAAGAACACAATAGATAACACCCCACCGTGTCATGGCGCTCCTAAAAAACTACTGTCCCTTTCTATTTGTTTGGCCCTCCTGTTCGAATGTAGCCCCTCCTTTCGTGTAGATACGCTTCTGTGGCCACATTGTAGCAGTGGTTTTGGAAAAAGCCGGACTGCTGAGCGCGGATATTTTATCCATGGCACTCTTCGGTCCTTTAGCCAGGTTCGGTGTTTATCCCCAGGGGCAGTGCTACCCTACCATTAACTTGATGAGTTCCGTGATGTGAAAGTTTGAGTTTAGCATGGACAGGACTATAGCCGAAGAGGGACCACCGTCAGATATTTGCTTCAAAACGAGCATTTGGGATCGATCAACGTTTAATTCTTAAAATAATCTCATGCAAACATATAGAGGACATGCACAATGTAGTTATAAGCATCTCTGCACCTTCTTACAAGTTTTAGAGCGTTTTAGGCAGTAAGCCTTCATGAAACTGCTTGATGATATAAATACTGCGTCACCGCACGTCCTTCCAGAACAGTTGAATAAATAGGATTCTGACGTCAAAAGGCAACGACATCGCCCTCCTCTGCGGACAGTGAGTCAGAAGACCTTGGCAACGTGCCAAGCTGTTCTGTCCCCGCCATCGGATCAGGAAATTCTGCTTCTGACGGTGGGTCAAGAAGCCCCGTTTTATTCTGGCAGCGAGGCAGAGAGCTCTCTTCGGACACCTTCAGGGGCCCACTCCTGACCGCCTATCTAGAAGCTGTGTTCCTCGGTTCAGGAGGTCCAGCTCACCGTGGGCGGGGTGGTGGCCAGCTGCAGCAGGAGCAGCGGCAACAGGAGCGCGCTGGCGGCAGCCATGGCTCCAGGGCAGCCGCCGAGAGAGTGTCGCGCTCGTCGGACGAGCTCCGACGAAACTCCGTCGCCCCTCCCCCTCCCCGCCCCCACCCCCGCCGAAGACAGCGGTACCCACCTACGTCCTTTGCGAGATCCCCGGAGACGCGTTACAAGCGCTTGGGAGACACTGGAGCGATGCATGATGCTGCCTGGTGAAACAGCTAAACGCTGTAGAATTTACCTTTGAAATTCTGTCCATGCATGAATCATCGCGAACAACCCAGTGTTCCAACACTGAAGCCCCGAGATGTTTCCTTCACATGATTTCTGGATCGTCGCGTGAAAGCGAGCAGCGCATTGGCCTGTTTGTCTCCAATTGGGCTCCGGCCAGCATATACGAGTATCGCTACAGACTGCCGGAGCGCACCGACCAGTGCGCCAATTCTTGGGCATGTGTTTACGCGGAGACATTTTGTGTCAGCTGTGGAGAGCTGCCGCCGCTGAACTGAGGGGCCGTGGGTGCTCCCGGTAGGAGATCTGTACGCGGGGGTGCGGGTGCGCGGGGCTACTTTGGCCGGTGAGTGAGGTGTGGGGGACTGCAGTGCCCGGGATGGGGTGTGCAGGGCTGCAATACCCATGGGTGTGATGTGCGGGGCTGCTTTGGCCAGTGGGTTAGATGTGCGGGGCTGCTGTGCCCGGGATGGGGTGTGCAGGGCTGCAATACCCATGGGTGTGATGTGCGGGGCTGCTTTGACCAGTGGGTTAGATGTGCGGGGCTGCTGTGCCCGGGGGTGCGGTGTGTGGGGCTGCAGCATCCGGTGGTGCGGTGTGCGGGGCTGCTGCGAGGCTGCTTTGGCTAGTGGGTGTGCTGTGCAGGGCTGCAGTGCCCGGGGGTGAGGTGTGCGGTGCCTGGGGGTGCGGTGTGCGGGGCTGCTGCGGCCGGTGGACGTGCAGATGGTCTGGTGTGGCCGTATGCATATGGGGGGGGGGGGGGGGGGTCGCGTCGGGTGACGGCGAAGAGCTAGCGACGAGTGCAGAGGTTTGACGCTCGTGTTTTCGACGCCTCCTGCACTGGGACGATCCGACTGACTGTAACGGTACGAAACACAGCAATTTTGCTCGTTTCTGCCACTGTTGTACTTCGAAACCGGTATTAAGTGTACGTCTTTGACGACATGAAGTGTCAGAAGAACCCGGGAAGAAAAGTCTGCGACACTTTTGCCTCTACCACCCGGTAGCCAGTGGTGAAAAAGCTTCCGATTTACGGGTATGATCGGTGGCAAAAACGAACACTTCTGCACGCTAATTGGTGACAGAATTGCGAAACTGAAAATAAATGGCAACAAACAAGACCACATTACAACAGACCATCCCAGTTAGACAAGACTCAAAGCTTATTGATCTGTACTCGCTAACGCTTGCAGGGTGAGCTTATGCAGAACACATGTCAAAACGTCGCTGTATGAGCAAGTTGAGCTACCGGATGCTGCCAAACATGGCAGCTTTAATCAGAATAGTTTTTAAGCAGGTGAAAAAAATATACCACGAACTGCACTATGTCAGTACTGACATCACAGATCAGTGGTAGCACAGCGTGTTTCCAATGCCTCTCAATTTAGTGCTTTTCACATACTTTTCAGTCAAGATTTACATATATATGAATATAATATTAATATTATAAGCAGCATAAAATGCCAAATAAATAGGTTTATTTTTAGTCGCAAGAACCGTGGCTGGCCACAGCGTCTTACGACGAACGTGATCAGTTTGCTACGCGGCGTCTAAGGCGTCATGCGACTTGAGACAAACGGGCTCGAATGCTCGCCAAGTAACGATGAATTGGTTTTAGTGTAGGGTTGTGGGCTGCCGTTGGGGTTGTTTGCATCGTGAGAAGCTGACTGGCTTAAAGAACGTAGCTAATCGCCAGTCTTTTTAAGGCGCTTTGCATCTTTTCTAGGGATCTCTCATGAAGGCGTCTCTGGTAATAGCGTTAAAAACCCCTGCCGATCCAAGAAGCTTGTTTGTGAATACCAGAACTTCCGTTTAAGCAATCAACGGAGGATGTTGGAGCGACACATGTCAGAGATTCATCCGAGGCTTCCTGTTGCTGAGAGAAACAGCGCCTTTGAAGCAAGAGGCCGCGCATCGCTGTTGTAAGCCTCGTACACTGCCCGTCGCATCTCAGGCTTTGTGTACTGACAAGTGAGAAAATCACTTTTAATTGTCATTGTATTGCGTATAGAGCTAAATGAAGGCCATAGCGGTGTTCAAAATGTCGCTTGCATTTGCTCATAGCAATATTACATAAGTAAGCGGAAGTGAGTAATTGCTGTAAATGTTGGAAAGTGCGAGGCCTGCACAGGTAATACCAGTGTCAACGCGGAGATAGTGAAGGTCGCCAAGGCTTCCAGCTGATTGCACGATGACGTCACGAAACTAGGAGTGATATTGCTTTCAGTTGCTTGTAAACCAATGCCATCGGTAAGCATAGGGCTACAGAGATGCAGTTTTGCAAAATACGTAGGCGTGAGGAAGAGGTGGGCTGCAAAAATGGCTGAGCCTGCGTCTGAAATGAACTTGACACGGTTCACTCCCCAAATTTGACGCCCTTATTCTCCGGGATAGGAGCAGGGACGTAGCTTCTTAAACTCAGTTTGGAAGGTTAAACCGTGAAAATGATGATTAACGAAAAATGATGTATAAAAATGAGTAAACGTAGGAAACTGCATCCCTGGTTAGGGAGGTGAATCCCTCCATCTGAATTGAAAACCATTCGCCTCTAAGGCTGATATTGTTGAATATGTCTTTATTTGATAATTTTAATAGGTTAGTCTTGCCTGTTCTTCAGTGTTTGATTGCCAGCAAACGATACTTCAGCGTAAATTAAGCTCCCGAAACCAAAATGTTTGATGGCTAAGGCACATGCATTTTCATTTATCTTAGTTTTTGTGGTTTATTCCATTTGGAGTTGTACTACAACGGTATCGGATAGATTTGACTCTAGTCTTTAATAAAGACTGCTCCGAATTTCGTCGGCGACCGAAAAACTTTCACCCCTGTCCCGTGACACCCCCGTCGAAAGGCTGTAGGGTATATCGAGCGTGGACCAGTCTGTTGACAATTGGGCTCAAGTCCCGGATGCAGTTGGATGGCCTGCAGTTTCTGAAGTCGTAGCATGTTGTTATCAATGCAGCGATGATCTCGAGATGGCAGTTATGCCTCGCCTCATTAGTGCTTCGGTGGAACTGCTCAGCGTGCGTGAACGGACCGCTGTTCTGTGATGCGTCTGGCGTGGCTTGTCGTGGTGTGCCCAACGGAGTCACCGTTCTCGAGTGCTGCCAAATGCGCTTTTCTAATATAAATTGTAATAACAGGTGATGTCGGACCGTTTCAGCATTGCAAGGTCTTAAATACGCTTATGGCATGATTGGGACGAGGCATTATTATTACGGATGGGACGCTTGCTGGAGCCAGTGTCGTCGTCTTGTGTGTTAGCATCCACATAAAACGGATGCCGTGAATATATTTTCGCAGGCGCCACAGTGCTCGAGAGGGCACGTATACCTATGGCTTGTTTTGGGTAATGTCACAACGGCGCTCTGATTGTGCTGGATGTGTTTCTCAAGACATTGGGCACGTTGAACCATGGATGAGATCTATGTATCTAACCTCAAGTCATGGATATATCGTCATATTCCATGAACGTAGCCCAAATAGAAACACTGAACCACTGCAATAAACTATGCACACTGTAGTTTGACTTGCAGTGTCGGCAGCAGGGTCTGCTGCGCTTTGGTATCCGGCCTCATTACTACGATGGACCTGATAGACCTTATCACTTAAAGATTTTCAGCATAAGCGGATTGCATGGCAACTTTTTAAGTGTGTAGATGAAGATACGCTTGTAATCGGTGTCCTACGAAGCCTGCGGAAATGATAGAAGCACCAGAAGGATGAATAATATCCGAGTTTTGGAAAGCTGCAATGCGCTACCGAAAAATAATGACTGCACATTAGTTGACCGTCTGGTTGCATGCAATTCGTTTTACATATGCCTCCCATTGGACACTTCTGACAGTCGTGGATAGGCCTCACTGGATACTATCAAGCTAAATTCACTAAATTCACCCCTGCCCCGAATTTCTTGGCACATAAAATGTTAACTGCTCATTCTGAACACTTCTGCCACTGTTTCGACAAAAGGCATGTTGCCGAAATATCAACCCAGCTATATCGCTATTCCCTGGTTTTTCTCCCAGGAATAAGGTTTTTGCTACTGTCTTATCCATGTGAATAATGCTCTTTGCTAATGCACAGAACAACTTACGCAATTTATTCTGAACCTTTACAACCAACCGCTTTAAATGACTGTGAGTTAGGTCATACATATTTGTTATTACTTTGTTTCAAGTCATCGGTATGAAAACAGTGCAACTTTCACTGTCCCGGCCTATCATGACCAGGACTGTCATAATTCTGAGAAAGGCTCATAGCTTAGCAAAAGCTTAGTGTAGTCCATGAAAGTTTCAGAAATAAGTAACGCTGTATTTTACAATGATGAATGTAAGGTTTGCAAGGCATGACAGTTCCGGCTGTTTTATCAGGAATGTTTTCGACAGCACTGCAGTGTGACAGACAGACAGGATTCGCAGCGGACCGCAACAACGCCTTTACCAACTCAGAAGAACAGTTCCATTTCAACAGGTAATTTCTGCTTCGGCATTTTAACCGAATGGTGCGGAAGGATTCTCATCACAGCACTCAACAGCGCCATCTCTGGGCAGGCTTACTCTCCAGGCCAGGATCTGGTGGCCTTGTTAGTCCGACACTCATGGCTACTTCATGGTGGTCGTTGTAGATGAGTGATGTATCGAAGTATCTCATGGAACGTGAATGTACCCCACTTACCCTGCGTGGCTGTCAAATATCGGTCGCGCTCCCAATGGTGGTGCAGGCTGATGCGTGAAGTTTCACTCCAGCATGA